TATTTAAGATGCTCATATTTAAGATGCTCATATTTAAGATGCTCATACTTCAAATATGCTACCATGCATAATCTTACCTCTATCAAAAGTATAGAAAGCTCTGCAACTTTAAATGATTTTGAATTGTTTGTATCATCTACAGGTTTTCAAGCCAGATGATAAGAATGCAATGGAGGTGCAGGGTGATGTTGATGCTCTGTTGGAACGTCAGAAAAGGGATGCCCAGTCTTCCACGATTCCAAAGACCCTTTCCTCCAGGTGGGTACATAACAAAGAGGCAATGTGATGAGCTGCTAGGTGTGATTTTTGTTTTTCAGTCCAGGAATAGGATTTTCAAATTATAGTCTTGAAATTTAAATTCTATTGAGCACTATTTTCTGAATGATTGCGTTCAAACTTTCGTGCAAAATTTTAAGAGTCTGTCATACTCTTTTACATGTTTGTGTGAAGTAGTGCTTTGACTGAAATCTTAATTTAGTTAGACTGGGGAATGATTTTGATTATTTCATCATATGAATCTCCAGATTGAGGGAAACCGTTTTAAGTAGCCCTCTCTTATTTCTTACTCAACTCTGAAATCATGATCACTTCCAAATGTTCCTGTCCCAATCACCCCTTATGCTGGGGAGCATTCTCTGTCGTGTCCTCTTGCTGCCAGAAATCCCACTCATATATAATGGGCACATACCAAATCCTACTGGCTTCAGGCTCGAGCCTGCTTTGGAACACAGAAGTGAAGATGGGCCTTAACTTCCAGTTACACGCAATGGTCATTTCCTGTTTGCATCCTTGTCTGCACACGATGTTCGTGCCTTTAATAATGCAGGCTTTACTGTGTGTTTACTGTTCGAACTTTGTTTTGTTTAGCAATTTGAGAGTTAACTTTTTTCTACTGCAGGAGATATAATGGAAGTGGGAAGGAGTTGATAGCTTTACCTTTCTAGTGTGAACTAAATTTTGCTTACTTTATATAGTACACTCCATGTGTATTCCAGTGATTAACCGTAAACACTTGTTGCTTTACCTCAACCATTCCTATGTGTTTTTCAAACTGAAAAACAGCTTCCTGATGCAATAGAAATGTCCATGATTTGATACCTTTTTTATTGAAATAGCTGATCTCTATTGGAGCAGCACTATGATTTTCGTAGTGTCACTGCCACTCAAACTCCTTGTTGCATTTAGTAAAGATCAAATCATGTTTATGTGTAAATGCCTGAGCAACTTGATCAAACAGCAATTTTTATCGGGTCATGTGAAGAATACTCACTGTTTGGCTTTGAGATACAGAAATAGAGTTGAATGGAATCCACATCTCCAGTAATATTGTCACACTTAATTAAGGCTGCCTCTAGTTTGAAAGTGCATGTAAATCTTGCATGAATGAATAATAAAACCAAGGAATTTTTTTATGATGTCTCTTTCTGATCACAGTAGTGGTATTAAATCTGTTGAAACATTTTCTTTTCACAGGCATAAAATGGATCCTGAGTTTGCAGATATGATTACTGTGCCTGAGCACTGCAAAGCTGAGGGAGTTGATGAGGACAGTGTTTATAGTCTATTTGTTTCTTACATTGAAATCTACAACAACTATCTTTATGACCTTCTTGAAGAAATACCGCAAGATCCAATCAAACCAAAGTAGGTTGCATTAAAATTCTTGCATTTCCTATTGTGATGGTGTGCCACTTCAGTGCCTGCCTGCGTGCATACTAAATCTGTCATATTTTGCCTGTTGTCTTTTTAAATCTATCTCCTCTCACCTTAAAAATGTACCCCGTTGTCTTGAAATCCCCCATCCTAGGAAAAAGACAGTTACCATTAATTCTCATTATCTTATAAACTTCTATCACTTCTCAACCTCCTATGCTCCAGTGAAGAAATTTCCAGCCGCCTTTTATTATTCAAACTTTCCATACCCAGCAACACCCTGGTAAATCTCTTCTGAACCCTTTCCAGCTTGATAATATCCTTTTTATAACTGGGCGACCAGAACTGGACATAGTATTCCAGAACAGGCCTCACTAATGTCAGTTACAACCGCAACATCACTTCCCAACTCCTATACTCAAAGGTGTGAGCAATGAAGGCAAGTGTGCCAAATGCCTTTTTAACCACCCTGTCTATATGTGGTGCAAACTTCAAAGAATTATATACCAGCACCCCTAGGTCCGTCTGTTTTACCCAAGGCCCTACCATTAGTTGTATCACCTCTACCCCTGTTTGTTGTACCAGCTGCAATATCTCTCATTTATCCGGATTGAACTCCATCTGCCATTTTTCAGTCGATTGATCCATTTGATCAAGATCCCTCTTTAATCTTAAAGACATGAGGCAAATTTTCACAGAATGGTTTGCGTGTGGAATGAACTTCTTGAGGACGTGGTGGATGCGGGCACAATTACAGTGTTTAAAAGACATTTGGATAAGTACGCGGACAGGAAATGTTTGAGGGATATGGGCCAGGAGCAGGCAGGTGGGACCAGTTTAGTTTGGGATTATGTTTGGCATGGACTGGTTGGATCGAAGGGTCTGTTTCTGTGCTGTATGACTCTATGGTTCTATGTATTTAATAAAATTGTGTGACATGCTACCAGATCAAAATAGCAATGGAGGAGTGACTGGAAGCTAGCTATTTCTCCAAAGAAAGATAAGGAAAAGTGTTTCGTCCTAGGTTGTTAGACCTGCTGTAGCACAAGATTTCTGTAGTGCTGCCAACAGAAATGAGCTGCAATCTGCTTGCCCTGCAGGATGCAAACATTGCCAAGAGAGTCAAAAAATCGTGGAAGATGAGGCTTTTTTCCTAATTTGATGCTGAAAAATAAACATTAAAATCAGTAACTTGGAATTGTTGTCTCAAATTTGGAATGGTCCACATATTTATTCATTTAACTTCAAAATGTGTGCAATTGGACAGACTTTGCTGTGACCTTGTGGAGTGCGTGTACATAGAAGCTGAGAAGTATCAGTATGTTGAAATTTCTGTCATATGCTCTCAATTTAACTGTTAGCTCAATTTTAAAATGTTTTATCTGGACTTTTGATCTATAGTTTGAACCCTGATATCCTGCACATCCGAGTCTGGTCCCTCTGCCTGAGTCACGCCATGATTATTAACCAGCTGACCGATTTTAGTTTTCAGAGTGTCAGTTTAAGGGCGGTGTGCAGAATACAGAGGCAGGAGACCAAGAATCACTGAAAACTTCCTTCTGGGCATTTAAATGTGTTATGTGGAGTGCTTTTTCTGTCTGGTGCTAAGAGACTACTTTCAGCTACTGGTCAGGATTTTGCCTCAAAGGATGCTGACAACCACATAGAATATTCCAGCCAGTGCCTGCATTACGCAAATTATGTCCTTTAAGCACTTTAACTGTCTCTACTCTGCTTGCAAGCAGATAGTCACCAACCATGCCACCTCCATCCCCAGCTGCAACCATCCACTACTAAAATGGCCCACAGGTGCTTTAACACAAGTTTGTGCCAGGATATTGCAACAAAATTGCCTCTAATTGTGCCACTGCAGCTGTTGTCTTTTTAAAAAATATTGGTTCGATGTATTGCTTTCAAACAATTTGAAGATCATAATGTGATTTTGATCCCATTTTAACGTCGTGTTAAACCGCCTGATTGGATTAAATTGCTCATAATGTACAGTATCTTTACAGAACTTTTATTTATTTTGTTCTGTTTGAAGCAAAATAAACTGCATTTTCCTGTTACGGTTTTGGTATTTGTATTGTGATTGTATACAAGACATTCAGCTAGGGTTTAGATATTTAGCTATGGTTTCTAACCTTACTATGAAGGACAGTTGCATTAACGTGTTGTTGCAAATTTCATGTGTGCTTTGACTTGAATGTCGACCTTTCTTAAAATATGTTTTAACTTCCTCTGTGCAAAATGGAAGTGTGAGATGAGCATGTTTGTATGGGGATAATGGTTGGGAGAATTATGATATGGTCTGTTAGGAATTGCAAAATAAGGCAAACTAATACCAGGTGCGCATCAAGCCCGCCTTGAAATTGTTTCATAAGTTTTGCATTCTTGTAGGTGTTCCTATAAGGTACATTTTTTAAATGTCATTGGGCTATGGGTATAGAATCATAGAATCCCTACAGTGCATAAAGAGGCTATTTGGCCCATGAAGTCCACACCAACCCTCTGAAAAGCATCTGGCCCAGTAACTTAATATTTGCCATGGCTAAATCCACCTAAACTGCACATCCCTGGAGACTATGGGACAATCCAGCATGGCCAATCTACCTAACCTGCACATCTTTGAACTGTGGGAAGAAACCAGAGCACCCGGAGGAAACCCACACAGACACTGGGAGAGTGTGTAAACTCCACACAGTCACTCAAAACCAGAATCAAACCCAGGTCCTTGCGCTGTGAGGTAGCAGTGCTAGCCACTGAGCCAACATACTGCCCCAGGCGTTTTGCAATGTTCTGTCGAGTTTGACAGGGTTTTTGTTTTACCTTCAAGACCACTTGAACTTTCAGCAAAAGAAGATTTCTAATAATAGTAACAAACTTTTTTCAGGTGTTAGGTGAATCAACCTTTAAATCTCTGTGTTAATTCTCTACCTCATCAAAACTCCATGGATGCTTGTGTTTAATACTGTCATTTTTCACAGGTGCCTTAGACCTAAAATTAGCTTTCTGTTTGTGCTGTTAGCTGATGAGGGGTAACATTCAGACTGGTAAATTAGTTGCAACAATCTGCACAAGGAAGTTTGTAAATTCACTCATGGCTCCTGCTCCTGATTGCGATCTAGAGTGATATTCCAAGATGTAAGTTTGGATTTTGGGCATTGATAGTGCACTGCTCATCAGCAGTACCAGAGAGGTTACTGATGGGTTATAATTTATATATTGACTAAAGCCGGAGTCCTAATGTCCATGTTAGTAACCTACGATAAGTCTGCTTCAAAAAATTAATGGTCCTACTGAAGTTTTGAAGTAATTAAGTATACCCATCTCTTTAGATCTTAATTGTATTTAAAAATATTGAATTACTTTGAATTAACTTGCGCTGTTTGTGTTGTGATTTTTTTTTTAACAGATTCCTTTTTGGAGAAAGCTAAATATTTCCCACTCTTTAACCTCACCCAAAAAAAACTTTTACATTATTGTGCATGCAAGACAGTGAATAGAGAAGATGGGGTGATTGTTTGCATACATTGAAAACGTTCTCGGTCACTTGCTTCTCCCACCACCACCACAACCAAATTGGCTACTTTGTAAATTCGTTATGTCTGGGATCTATGTGTACTCAATCAGTATTGGGACCTGCCTTTTTAAAATTGCTATTATTGTTTTAGGCAGTGCAGATATCTGTACATTATAAAAATAGTTTTGAACATCCTGTGTACCAACCATTCAACTGCCATTTAAATTCAATACCCAACTTTTCCAAGATGAATTGTAATCTCCCAAAACCTCTTTTTTTTTTTTTTTTTTTTTTTTTTTTATTGTCTAACGTAATAAATTTAATGTAAGGTCTGAAAATTGAGCAGGTTTCAGTATGTGTTCACTCATCTTTTTCAGGTGCCACATAACTGAACAGTGTTTTTTTGACACAGCTTAATGGTATGTTTTTGTAATAATGTGCCATGTTTCTTTATTAGGTGGAACAGTAACAGCACTCCTGTGCGGAACGTTGAGTTTATGTACGTCTCTAATGTACAAGCTGCCAGTGGTAATCTGAGTAATTGGTAGACTAGTTGGCTAAAATTTACCTGGTCGATGTTTTGTTCTGGCTAATATTGCCCTTCCCTGGCTAACAGACCAGTATTGTCAATCTATCCCATGGCTTATTAGTTATGGTGACCAGTAGTGGCCCCAAGCATGTATAAAGTCTCTCACTGCTTGTGCTTAGCCTGTAGCACGGAACAACACAATGCCAGCACAACAAATGCTTGACTTTTTTAACTTGCTTTGTTGCAAAAATATGCTTTCCAGTGATAAGCATTCGTTTTTGATTTATATGTTTAGTAAATACATCTGATAGCCAATACAGGTGTGTGTTTGTGAGCTCTCTTTCCCTCCTATTTTGATAATGCATTTCACTTTTTAAGTAGATATTTGTATCATTTCGGTGGAATTTTGTAGTTGACAAATACTCAGCTTGCGTTCTTTCTAAGGGGTAGAAGAGCTCCTCTCCATCATTTGTATGTCAGTAGTATTTCTATCAACTCTACAGGTGTTCTCTTGAGGGCTGGGCAGAGCTTCTATTTTAGGTAGCTCATTTCACAACCACGCATACCCTGAAATGCTTCACAGCCAACAAAGTATCTTTTTTTGAAGTGCTAAGTAGGGACAGAACTTGGGTAGTTCAGTCCTTTTTATTTACATTATTACTATAAAGCTTGTGTTTACAGCGCAGCTTTCGTGGCCTCAGGATCTCTCAAAAGCATCAACAGCTACTTCAGTAAGAGTAATTGCTTGTAAGGTAGGGGAGTGTAGTAGTTCATTTACTCACACTAAGACCTCTCAAATAGATAATGCAGATAATCTGTTTCTGGTTATAGGATCAATATTGGTCAAGGTACAAGGAGAGAAACATTTAAAATTATCCTTACTTAAACATAGAACAATACAGCGCAAGAACAGGCCTTTTGGCCAATCATGTCTGTGCTGACCATATGCTATTATAAACTAATTCCATCTACCTGCATGTGGTCCATGTCCCTCTATTCCCTGCCTGTTCATGTCCGTCTAAATGCCTCTCAAATGTTGCTATTGTATCTGCTTCCACCACCTCCCCTAGTAGTGCATTCCAGGCATCTATGACCCTCTTGAGTAAAAATAACTGCACACATCGCCTTGAAACTTCCCCATCTCACTTTAAATCTGTCCCCCTCGTATTTGACATTTCCACTGTGGGAAAAAGACTCTGACTATGCACTGTATTCCTTGCCTCTCATAATCTTACATACTTCTATCAGGTCACACACCACCCCCCCCCCCCCTTCTGATGCTCTAGTGAAAATATTCCAAGTTTCTTCAACCTCTTCATATTGCTAATACACTCCAATTCCAGCACCATCCAGGTAACCCTCTTTTACACCCTCTCCAAAGCCTCCACATTCTTTACTGTGGCAACGGGAACTGTGCACAATACTCCAAATGTAGCCCAGCTAAAGTTTTATACAGCAGCAGCATGAAGAAAAGTTTAGGATATGTTAAGATTTTGGAAAAATCTAGACTGGTTTCTTGAGCTGTTAATTTTTTTTGCTGTTCTATGCTGGTACATCATAAAGTAAATTTCACACACATTGGTAATATGTTTGAACATGTAAATTCTCTAATTCTTTTTAAACACTTTTTACACACTTGCAATATACTACATTTTAAAATCAAGCATTACAGGAGAATTAGTTGCTAGGTGGACAGAGGGTACCCTATATTGTTCTACTTGCCTTAAATTGTTTTAACTCAATTCAAATTGTTTTCAAAATATATTGAATGACAGACAGTCTCTGCCCCATTTGGAAACAAGGTAGTGAATTTGAAAGAGATGACGAGAGAAAATCTCAATCTCCCCTCCCTCTACCCCATCCCAAAACCAGCCCAGCTCGTCCCCGCCTCCCTAACCTGTCCTTCCTCCCACCTCAAGCCCCACCCCCATCTCCTACCTACTAACCTCATCCCACCCCCTTGACCTGTCCATCCTCCCTGGACTGACCTATCTCCTCCCTAGCTCCCCACCTACACTCCCCTTTACTGGCTCCAACCCGGCCTCTTTGACCTGTCTGTCTCCTCTCCACCTATCTTCTCCTCCTATCCATCTTCTATCCGCCTGTCCCCCTCTCCCTATTTATTTCAGAAACCCCTTCCCCTCCCCCATTTCTGAAGAAGGGTCTAGGCCGAAACGTCAGCCTTCCTGCTCCTCTGATGTTGCTTGGCCTGCTGTGTTCATCGAGCTCTACACCTTGTTATCTAGTGAATTTGAAATACAACTTTAAAAAATTGTAATAACTCTTGGTGAGTTTTATATGGATGATTTCTACAGATTTTTGCAATTCAGCTTCACTGCTTAAGATGACTCCTGGTTTTGTTTTTCATAAACCAGGATCACTTTTCTACATTAAACACACACCTGGTGCTGTTATGAAATCTGCTCAAACTCATTATCCTGCATGCAGTTGCAATAATCTAAAATTGATATGGCAATCCCACTTGAAGCTGGCTTCCTTGGACCAATTTAGAAATTTTCTATGCAATTTATAGGCAATAAAATTTCACTTGCTTGATAGTTGCATGAATTGAATCTTAACATTCAGCAAAGGTAAACTATGATTAATGTTTGTTCGATTTTGAGCTGACAGTGGTCAGGTAGGTAAAACAAGAAATGAATCCATTCTAAAGGGATACGTTAATGTAAAAGTCTGCGCTGTCCTGTAAGGAGAGAGATAACCTGTAGGTAAATTTTACATTCAGTTCAAATGCTTTCTCAGTTTGCTATCCGTTTGTTATTCACGTCAGTGAAACTAAGGTTTTAGATTGCTCAGTCTCCATTGCTGCACAAATATAAAATGCATATGCAATTAAGTTTTATACTAAAATTTTGACTAGAATTTATGTTGGTGTCCTAACTTTTAATAATGAGCTCCTTAGATTTATTTTGACATTGTGCATAGATTTCTGGTATGTTGAGTATGTTATCATTGTCTGGACTTTTCCTTTTAATATCACTTTGAGATTTAAGCAGCCAATGTTTGCTTACAGACCTCCACAATCCAAAATTCTTCGAGAAGATTCTAATCATAACATGTATGTGGCTGGTTGCATGGAGGTAGAAGTGAAGTCTACGGAAGAAGCTTTTGAAGTATTTTGGAAAGGTGAGAATTGCACTTTCATTGTCGTCATTTTCCATCTTGATATTCAGATTGCTGTTTGTATCTTCCATGAGGTTAGAGTGAAATAGCACTGCATCCAAATGTATTTCAGCGTAGTCTAAGACAGTTTAGATTCAAAAATATGACTGTGACATTTTGATTTCTACTTAAACTGGATAAAACCGTTGTTAGAGATTGGGTAAAGATGGTTCATCTTCAAAATATTACATGCAAATATTAACTATTTGGCATTTGTGAGAATATTCGGAGGCTCAACCTGTGTACAGTACGTTTTGGTACATTGGTATTTGAAAGCAATGTAAGGCACCTAGGATTGAAAAGAACCAGGCTGTTGATTTGTAGACATTAATTATGTGTTTCTAATTGTGATTGCTATATGGAAATCTAGTTACTCATTCTCCTTATCTGCCTTGCTGTCTGTAAACCAGGTTCTGGGTATGCTTTCTCTTTGCAGGCCAGAAGAAACGACGTATAGCTAACACTACATTAAATCGAGAATCGAGCCGTTCGCATAGTGTTTTCATTATCAAGTTGGCTCAGGCTCCATTAGATGCTGATGGTGACAATGTCCTTCAGGTAAATGGGACCGTGGAAAATGTTTAATTTATTGCCTTTTATTTGCCATTTATGGAGAATCTGGGATGGCAACATTTCAAATGACTGGAACATTGGATAGCATTGCCCTATAGGTGTATATCATTTATGTCTAGCTCCATTAAAGTCATACCGAAAATTTTATTCAATGTACTGTATATTTGTTTTCTTTTTTTGTCTTTTTAATTCTTCTTTGACTCTCTCTAATATCTTTTTTTTTCTCTCCCACCCTTGACTCCCTACCTTGTTTGTTGAGCCTTCTACTATCTTTGACCTTGCTGTATGAAACCTTTCCACTAAAAATCCTGTACCTCTTCTTCCAGTTAAGTGTATATTTCTATTTGGTGTGAGTATAAGTTGAAGTCACTTGCGTTTTTCCTTTTCCTTTTGTCTTAGGCTAAGGATCAGACAATAGTGAGCCAACTATCCTTGGTGGACTTGGCGGGAAGTGAGAGAACTAACAGGACAAAAGCTGAAGGCAGCAGGTTGCGAGAGACAGGTAAGGAATTTCACAAAACAAAATATTGCTTGTTAATTTTTTTTGTGGTCCAAACGTTTTTGGCTTGGCAACTTTTGGTTTGTGTCTGTGTTACATAACTGTAGTTTTTAACATTGTTGATATTAGTTTTAATTTTATTTTATGTATGGACTGGAAGGCATCATTGCCCAAAGCAGATGCTGGGTAAGGAACTCTGAATATGTTGTAAGGTTGGGCAATTCTTTTTTTGTTGTAACCCAAGTGGTACAAATGTCCACAGTGAGCAAGGATGTTCATGCAGCCGCATAGTGAGAATTTAAGATCGGTTGAGACAAGGTTTTTTTTTTTAAATTTGCTGGCATTTTTGGATGCCAAAGGACTATAAAAGTCCAAATTCCTAAATATGGACATCCTTTCGAAGCTGTGCTGTTCTTGGGCAATTTTCTTATGGTTTTGAGCTAATTTGCATCCCGAACGAAATGTTCTTTTAAAGATAGGTATTGAAGTATAACTTGCTTTACCATCTACTGTATAAAGATTTCCATCTTGCTATAAAACTAATCTTCGCACAGTTTTAAGCATAAATTAACTTTTCCTTTTAATTTTTAAACTGGCTACTCATTTGTGAATTTTGAGAATTTGTCCAAACATGCCACAGGTCTGTTTGACTCCTAACTTTGAGAAATAATCTCATTTTACTTTTCTCAAAGTTTAATTCCTGGCCTATATTCTCTGTTCGTGTGTATTTGTATACTTTCATGATATGCATTTGGATGATTTTATTATTTCTCCATGTGTCCGAAGTTGCAGCGTACAATTATTAGATCGAGTCGATCTGTAATTGCTCCTTGGTAAATTATTCTGAGATTAAAAGTTCAGAATGCTGTTAGTGTCTGTGTAAAACTTGGAGAATCTTGATTTTGTAGCCTCTGGCTCATCCCTCTAATTCTTGTGGTTGGGTTTTCACCAGAAATGGCAATATTTGGTAAAAAAATCTTAACAGTAATGAGCACACATACTGTTTTGTGCACTAGAATCAATTAAAATAAAGTAACTTCTCAATGTTCTCTTATGCAGGGAACATTAATCAGTCATTGATGACATTAAGAACATGTATTGAAGTACTAAGAGAAAACCAAATGTATGGAACAAATAAGGTAATATTCTCTGTTTGAATTTCATTAGTGACTTGGATGTAAGCAATCAAGAATGCTCTTGCGGTATTACACAATGAGATGCGCAATGCTTTGAGACTCCAACTTCAGAGCATAATTTTTACTGTTTTTCTGTTTTTGCACAGGTTATTCGTAAAGGATATCAATAAACAATTTCAGTGTAAGGTGTTATGTGGTAGCTATATTTTTCTTTACAGATGGTTCCATACAGAGATTCAAAGCTCACTCATCTTTTTAAAAATTACTTTGATGGTGAGGGGAAAGTTCGGATGATTGTGTGTGTCAATCCCAAAGCTGATGACTATGAAGAAACCTTGGTGAGTGCTGCAGAAAGAACGTGGGAGATTGTCACATCAATCAGCATGTCTGAACATCATTAGTCTTTGGGCAATGCTGAAAGTGGTAGATTGACATATATGTTGAATATCTGTCCCTTGAGGCTAGATGTAACACATCTGGGTTACATCCAGCTTCTTGACACTTCTTTTGTTGTTTTAATGAGGAGGTTGTATGTCTAAAGCATGCTTTTAGGTTTGTAAAGAGCTTTTGTTTCTTGATTTCTTAAAGTTGGCATCTTTTTCAGTCAAGATCATGGCTTTTTGAATTCACACATGGACATTCTAATTTGAATGTTTTTACATTGTAGCTGGTTATGAGATTTGCTGAAATGACTCAAGAAGTGGAAGTGGCTAGACCTGTAGATAAACCGATCTGTGGTCTCACTCCAGGCCGTCGATACAGGAATCAAGCTTTCAAAGAAGAATTGACAAGGAAGCTAGAACTACGAGGAGGCCCCATATACGGAGGTATTGTACTGTGTAAAGAAAAAAAAAAATTGCTATCGTGATTGATTTCTTTTTAAAATGGGCACCATCCTGTTTTGAAATGAATTCCCAAAATTTCAAATGGAGTCTTTGTGCGGTGTCCTCCTTTCTAGGTGACTCAAATCGAGCCTCGCTCTCCTCATTCAAAATCCATCAAGTTGGTCATGTATGCAACTTTGATGCTTTGATTTGATTTGAACAGATGAAACCCAGAAGTCAATATGCTCTCATCAAACTCCTAGAAACAGAATCTGTTTTAGTGATGTTGATTTGAGGGATAATTGTTAGCTCAACACTATGGATAACTTTCCTCCTCTTTGTAGTAATCTTATGGGATGTTTGTGTATTTTACGTTCACCAGAGAAGGTAGACAGGGCCTTGATTCAATGCCTTATTTTCAAAGGGTGGCATCTCCAGCAGTGCAGCACATCCTCCGAACTGTGGTGGCGTTTTGCTCAAATCACTAAAGTAGGACTTGGGGATACTCATGGTTTGCTGACTGTTACCAGCTGAGTCATGGTTAAGAAGTCAAAACTTGTATATCGTACACAATTTGAGGAATGTTATTTCCATTTTAAAATTAGTAACATTTTCATCAAGTACTTTATCTCAGCAATAGATCTTTTTGCTTGATCAGAATTTTATCTTTGCCACGTAATTTTTTTTTTTGAGATTAAAAATCTGGCCTGGCCTTGTTTATTGCTTGCATGTTGATTTAGTATATTCTATTTGCTTACTAAACTCCAGAATACAAAAATTTGTTTAACAAACTGAAGGAAAACTATTTTACCTTTTTTGATATAAATTTTCTTCAAAAATATTTTAAAATTTGCTTTCTAATGTATTGTTAGTTTTTTATGCAATAGGGAAGGAAGAACACCCTTTCAAATGTTAAAACTTCAACAAAGACCAATCAATGAGGAGTCAAAGGGATTTTAGGGCAGTAATGTTTGCTTTACAATCCCAATTGAGTTCCTGTTCTCTTTCTTGCATGCCTGCAATTTCAGAAGATCCGTCTGTTGCAGAAGCTCTGCTGCAAAGTTTTGCATCTTTACCTTCAGTTGAGATAACTGATGCCAATGACGAACAAACTTTACCACGCTTAATAGAATGTTTGGAACAAAGGTATAAAATACGGCAAATGGCAGCTGAGGAGATGAAGAAAACTGGTATGTGATGGGCAAAGTAAAAATTTCCTATTTAGTTGAATAGTGTAATTTCTTAACACTCCTTCAATTTTGACTTTAGAGCAAAATAAGTTTCTATCATTTTCTCAATGTTGCTCAGTAAACGCTATCAGAGGGATGCTTCACGATTGGGACAATAAGTTCACAGCAAAGGAGAATTACATACAGGATCAGCAAGAAAAACTGCTTGAAAAGGACCGGTTTATAAATGGACAGAAAGCAGAGACTGAGCGACTGGAGAAGAAAGTTAAAACCTTGGAGTACAAGGTAATTTTTTTTTTTTTTGCTTTTTTTTTCTTTTCTCTGGATACCAGGGTGTGAGGAAGTATGTGCATGTGATTTGCAGCTATGAATATTTGTATGTTATACTTTTAGTTGATCATCAGATTCTCAACAATTCAGAGCATGCTATTCGACGTACCTTTTTAGCTGACTTGTGACCACTCCCTTTCCAGTGCATCTTTTCTTTTGTTTCACTTAGTAGCCATCTCTGTGAGTTGCACAACGACTTTTATCTACAATCAGAATTAAAATTGTTGCTATTCTGAACAATTAGTACTCTAGAAACTAATTTTATCCCAGTGGTGTTGAATCTTTGCAGTGGTGGGTGTGAACAGGAGAATGAAAAAGATCATGGTGCCTGTTCTAGGAGCACCTTTTCATGGACAAAGGGCAGCTTTGTTTTCTCACTAACCAATGGGAGAAAATATTGCCAAATCCTACTGTTATTATTCTATAGCCGAAGCTAATTTTATGTTTCTGTCCCTAAGATTGAGATATTGCAAAAAACAGCAAATATTTATGAAGAGGACAAGCGGGCCTTGCAACATGAGCTGGAGGAGAGAGACCAAAAGCTGCATCGAGAGCTATCAGATAAACGGCGCTTGGAGCAGAGAATGCAAGGAGTGATGACAGATACAAAGATGAAATGGGAGAAAGAATGCGTGAGTAATTTGGGTTCTGAATTCTGTGATCTGCATGGGGTTACAGCTTAATACTTCCAGCTTTGTGTTCAATAAAGCTCTTTTTAATATTAATGGTCAAACTATATTGTAAATAGTCACTGATTGTTTACAAAATATTCCTTTTGTTGTAACAATATGCAAGATGTATACTGTTCCGGGAGTCTTCACACTGAGTTGGCATGTTTTCAAACACAGCTGTTACACTTAATTCACACTTTGCATGAGTTGTTTTTAATTTCTGAACATCTGTATTTTCATTTTAAGGTTATTGAGATTCTTTTCCTGAATCTTCAAGGGCATGTCTTTTGCAGCGTGTCGTTATTTTCATCTGCTTCCATAGTTTGGTAATGTGAAGCCTCCAAACTCACTTGCATAAAATGACATTCTAACTCACCATCAATTTGTGTATTCTGCCATAGGTGGACACAGTCTTTTTATCTCACCTAAGCTGTACGATTCTTTTCATTTTCCAATAGCTTCATGCAATTTTCAAGTCATTCAACAATTTGTATGGTGCTCTTCCTCCTTTTTTGTTTCTCTCTATAAGTCCATTTTCTCTTAAAGTCCCCACCCAGGCTTTCTGCCTTCCTAGTTATATTTAACAAATTTCTTTGTTTATTCACTCTCCTTAGCATTTCATCATCTACATGTTCCATAAACAAACCCTTTCCTTTGGTCTCTAAATGCACATTTCAAAAACTATTTAGCAAATTAGTTCTACATTGCTCCTTTTGATCCCATTATTAAGTATACCTTTTGCCTTCTTTGACTTCCCCAAATTCATCATCTTGTACATGTCCAAGCTGAATTTCATTTGCCAATTTTCTGCCCATCTGATCAGTCCAACTCCTCTTCAATTGCACATGGTTCTAATTGCCAAGTGGCTGTGCTCTCAGCCTTTTGTCTCAATTGCAGATTTCCTACAAGTCATCTATCTCGCCAGTTTGCTCCAATGTCTTTCAGCACTTGAGTTTAATTGATCAAATGCTTCTAGAAAATCTACAAAAATATATAATTCCTGTCTAAACTCCAGACTCTGTTCACCCTTCTCTTATTCCTTTTCCTACCATGAACCCAGACTTGTCATTTCAGAAGTAGTCCTGCACCTTCCTACCCATTATCTTTGAAGGTTATGTTGAAAGTTAGAACAATGAGTACGTGATTAGACTAATTGTACGGTAGTCAGAACAACATTCCTTGCTTTCCTTGGGTGATCATCACAGTTTACTGAAATGTTGACTTTCCTGCTCCTCGGATGCTGTCTGACCTGCTCTGCGCTTCCAGCTCCACATCTATTGACTCTGGCTTCCAGCATCTGCAGTCCTTACTGTCTCCAAGTCCTCAGGTGTTCTCCTGATAAGTAAATTTCTTTGTATGGCTTAGTAATCATTTGAAGTTCAGTTCAAGCCCATGTTTTCAATCAACTCTGTAGGTATTCCATCGATTTCCAGGAACATTGTAGTTTTTAATCTCCTTGCTGCTTTTATCTCACTGTCTAGAATTTCCAGCCCAATTAAATCTGATGTCAACATTACTCTCTCTCCTACTAGTTCATTTTAGATTTCTCATTTAGTTTTTGAATATGGTCCTGACAATTTTTGTTTTATTTTGTTGGGGTTTATTAATCAAATACCTGCCTTGCTGTTTGTTTTGTGGTTTTTAGTTCATTATATTGAATGGCAATAATTTCCTTTGCCTTGGCAGATATGGATCTACCCTTCTTAATTCATCTAATGCTTCAAGTTTATCACTGCTCTTTTAACTGTTGTTTTCATGGTGCATAAACCATATTTGTTTTCACAAATTCTGTTCTTTAAGATTTTGGCCTTGCTCATTTCTTTTTCCAAGACCATATATCCACTTCTGCATCATCTCTTTCTGCAATCATGCTGCTCTAATCTCCCATATCAAACATGCAGCTCTTCCCACTCTCCTGTTTTAATCTAGTTTTTAAACTTTATTATCGAATGACCACCCCGTCGGGATGTTTGCTTGTTAAATTGCTTGGTCTTGGAAAGGAAGGGGTACTTGACGTCTAACAAATAACATTGCCAGTGTGCGGTGAGGGGAGCAGCTTCCCTTGGTTATTATGGTGAGAGAAGTGTGGGCCTGCTGTAGTCTGGGGGAATGTAGATGAACACGTGAACTAGTGTTGCAACTGACGGAAGCATTGGCCAAGATGTCATGTGGTTTATGTGACTACAGGTGACTGACGAGTGCAGGATTTTGCATCTGTGTATCCTTTCTTAGAGGGGGGAGTGGAGATGAGAAAGTATTTTGCATAAAGACTGTTATGTTCTAACCAGGTGGTATTGGTATCATAGTAACCCAGCACTACCTGTCACAATAGTTAAATTGTTAGCAAAGAAAACAATGGCAAGCCACCACTGAAAATTAGCCAAGACAATGGCAACAGGTGACATCAGCTCAAATAAGCACCAGTTGTGTGGACAGGATCCCTTGTGAAAGGGTAGTTGAGGGTTTAGCTTGCTAAGGAAGGAAATGAGGACTCGAGCTGCCATCCAGGAAAATCTATATATGCGTTTGTGCAAGGTTGGTAAAAGAATGGGAATGTAGAATTAACACATTTGCATAGGCAGGAAAAGCTAGAGAAACTAAAGCAAGTAATAGAAAAGCAGAAATTAGACATCCTAAGATTTTGTAACATACTGTGGACAGCAGGTGACAACTTTACAAGAAACAGTGAGATCAATATTCAGGAGAAGAAGTGGAAGAGGGAGTAACAACAATGGCAGGCAAGGAAGCTCCAGAATGTGAATCAGGGAAATGTGATGTAGATAGACTGTTAACGCAACTAAGGGGATGACCAGTTGATGGTACAATATTCTAACTAACTTGCATATAAGTGTCTTTTGCTAAATTATCTTAGTCTGATTTTTAGTCACCAATTTGACAGGAGTTGGCTTCAAGCATATAGGCTTGCAAAATTTGAAATGGAGCAATCCACTGAAGTAAAGTTAAAAAGAGTTTTGTGGTTTGCATGGGGACAGCCCATGAGTTGACTTGCCTCTCTGAAATATTCCTGTAACTATAAAATTAGTATGCAAGTCCACTAAATTCTTCAAAGTCATTGCAAAGGAAAATTAATCTTTTTCTCCCTTTCCCTTCTCTTTCTCTGCAACCTTATCCAAACTTTTTGATGGAATACAAATCAACCTGCAGGAACGTCGTGTTCAAGCTAAGCAGCTCGAGATGCAAAATAAGCTTTGGGTGAAAGATGAAAAACTTAAACAACTCAAAGCAATTGTTGCAGAGGCAAGGACAGAAAGGCCTGAGAAACTGGAGAGAACACCAAAGGAAAATGACAAGAAAGTACATGTACGATCGGCATCTCCACCTTCAGTTCCTGTATGTACAGTAAGATGTTTAATTTATTTGGCACAACACTAAATCTTTGTATATATTTAATTTTTAGTATAATATTTGGTGTTAGTCAATTTGAAAAAGATAGCATTACATAATGCTTTTTAATGGGATGTATTTTCGGCATCCTTCATCAAGTTACTGCTTTGTCTTGTTAATTAAGTTCCTATACATAACTCTGCATGCCATGAGTTAATTTTAACATGGTACATTTGGTAAAATATTATGTTGCTGTAGTAGAGTTATAGTGATATTTGTATTGTGACTTTGTTGTTTCATGAGGTTAGATGAGGATTGGCAATGCCATCTAGCAGTGGGCCTTTTTGTACATTGCTACACTATTCCATAATTACAAATTATTTTTCATTTTACAAACTTGATCCGATGACTAACTATGACATGCCTGTTCAGATTAAGTGTATACAGGGCATGTGTTTAGCACCTCGAAAGTCAGTTCTGAAATTTTAAAACCTATTATTTTTCACTTTTAAAGTTTGTTAAATGTGTTCAGGAAAGTTTCCTCAAGTGGTAGATAGAGGATCCTAATCAGGAAGGGGAGAAACTCGACCTGCCGTTGGGGAAATAGGGCAGGACAAGTGACTGAGGTGACTGTGGGAGAGCACTTTGAGACCAGTGACCATAGTTCTACTGATTTTAAAATGGTTATGGAGAGGGACAAAACTGGGCCACAGGTTCAAGTTCTAAATTGGGGCAAGGTGAATTTTGTTGGAATTAGACAGGAACTTGCAGCCGTCAATTGGAGTAGTTTGTTTGTAGGCAAAGGGACCTCCGGCAAGTGGGAGGCCTTTAAAAGTGTGATAGCCACAGTTCAAGGTCTATATGTTCCTGTGAAGGTGAAGGGCAAGGTTGGCAGGAGTAGGGAACCCTGGATGACAAGAGATATTGAGGTTTTGACCCAAAAAAAGGAGGCATGGCTAAGGTACAGGCAGCTGGGATCAAGGGAATCCCTGAAGGTATGTAGGGGATACAGGAGTTTACTGAAGAAGGAAATCAGGAGGACGAGAAGGGGGCCCAAGATGGCTTTGGCTGAGAAGATTAAGGTGAATCCAAAGGGATTTTTTTTTTTTTTTTTTTTTTAAAAAGTATATTAAAGGAAAAAGAATAACTAGAGAGAGAATAGGACCCCTCAAGGACCAAAGTGGACATGTATGTGTGGAACCACAGGTGATTGACAAGGTCCTCAATAAATATGTCTCCTCTGTGTTTACCATGGAGAAAGACATGAAGACTTGGCAACTTGGGGAAGTTAGTGGCAATATCTTGGGGACAGTCCATATCACAGTAGAGGAGGTGTTGAAAGTATTAGAATTTGTGAAGGTGGATAAATCTCCTGGTGCTGTCCAGATATATCCAAGAACCCTGCAAGAGGCAGAGAAGAAATTGCGGGGTCCCTGGCTGATATTTGCATCATCATTAGCCACGGGAGAGGTCCCGCAAGACTGGAGGGCAACAAATCTTGTGTCCTTATTCAAGAAGGCCTGCAAAGAAAATTATAGACCAGTAAGCCTAACATCTGTGGTAGGTAAGTGACTTGAGAGGATTCTGAGGGATAAGATATACATGCATTTGGAAAGACAGGGTTTGATTAGGAGTAGTCAGCATGGCTTCATGTGTGGGAGATCATGCTGTCAAATTTGTTAGAGTTCTTTGATGAAGTGACCAGGAAGATTGATTGAGGGCAGGGCAGTAAATGTAGTCTATATTGATTTCAGTAAGGCCTTTGATAAGGTTCCACATGGTGAGCTGCTCTGGAAGGTTAGACCACATGGAATCTGGGGAGATTTGGCAAATTGGATACATAGTTGGCTTGATGGTCGGAAGCAGAGAGTAATAGTGGAAGGACGCTTGTCGGACTGGAGGCCTGTGACTAGTAGTGTGCCTCAGGGGTTCGTGCTGGGCCCATTGCTGTTTGTTATTTATATTGCTGATTTGAATGAGAATGTACAAGGCATGATTAGTAAGTTTGCAGATGACACTAAAATAGGTGGTATTGTGGACAGTGAGGAAGGTTATCGGAAATTGCAGCAGGATCTTAATCAGCTGGAAGTAGGCCGAGAAATGGCAAAAGGAGTTTAGTATAGATAAGTGTGAGGTGTTGCATTTTGGAAAGTCAAATCAAGGTAGGGGTTCTATGGTGAATGTAGGGCCTTGAGTGTAGTGGAACAGGGGGACTTTGGAGTTCAGGTGCATGGTTTTCTGAAAGTGGCGTCACAGGTATACAGGACAGTGAAGAAGGCTTTTGGCACACGGGCCTTCATCAGTCAGGGTATTGAGTATAGAAGTTGGGAAGTTATGTTGTAGTTGTACAGGACGTTGGTGAGGCTGCACTTGGAGTATTGTGTTCAGTTTTGGTCACCTTGCTATAGGAAGGATGTTATTAAACTGGAAAGAGTGCAGAAGAAATTTACAAGGATGCTGCTAGGATTTAAGGGACTGAGTTACAGGGAGAGGTTGGACAAGCTAGGACGTTTTTCTTTAGATTGTAGGAGACTAAGGGGGGAGTCTTTATAGAAGTGTATAAGATCATGAGAGACATGGATAGGGTGAATGCAGTTAGGCTTTTTTCCAGGTTTGGGGAATTGAGGACTAGAGGGCATCAGTTTAAGGTAAGAGGGGAAAGAATAAATGAGAACCTGAGGACCAACTCTTTTACACAGAAGGTGGTATGCATATGGAATGAGCTGCCAGCGGAAGTGTTTGAGGTGGGTACATTAACAACATTTAAAAGACATTTGGACCAATACATGGATAGGAAAGGTTTAGAATGATATGGGCCAAGTGTAGGGAAATGGGGTTAGTGTGGATGGATATTTTGGTCAGTTTGGACTGAATCTTGGGAGACAGGCCCTGTAGGACTCTATGGCTATAAGTGATTTTGTGTTGCCCCATTGTGAACTGAGGGTGTGTTTTATTTCCCAATATATTTAAATCTGCCTTTCTTTATACAATTTATCGAACCATTTTGCTTTCACGAAGACCCAAATGGCTGCAAGCATTTTTTTTTAATTTAGTGGAAATACAACTAATTAGAGCTGTCTTTCACATATCTTCAATGTTGCATTAACTCTATACCTGAGGGAAATGTGTATTGCTGGAGAGATTTAGTATAGGGTACACTACATAGTAAGTATTTGCATTTTATGTTGACATAGAGGGTTTGTCCAGATTATTTTTGAATGAGAAGTGGATGTGTCAATTAGCTGCTCCTTTCATGATCTATCTGATACATTTGCACCCCATTACTTGTTTGATTGTTCGTAGTAGATTATAGGGAAGGGAAAAGTGGTCAGGAACACACAATTTGAATTAGTTATTTCTTGGATTTGTTTCACATTTTAGCATTGCATTAATATAAAGTGATTATCAGTTTTTGTACGTTTCACTTTGTAATGGCAGAGACATTTTCTGACTCGATGGATAAATGCTTGTGTCCTATTTACTAGTAAATGTTCTGTATTAAGGACATTCACTGCAATGTTTTATTGCCTTTTAATAATTATTAGTTATCTTCCAGAACTTTATATGGAGTGAAATTTTGAATGAATCAAAATTCAAGTTTAATGTTGCAATAATTACTGCCCTGTGTCTATTCCACAGCTCCTTGTTAGTAATCCTGGTAGCTATGTTTATATATATCTTTGCAGCATTCAACCTTGATTCTGCCTGAGGTCTCTAGGGGCGCATGAATTCTTTAGGACGCTTGTGCTCTTTTTTAACACAGAAAATGTCATTCGAGAAAAGTTGCGCATAAAAGCTAGGAAGGTAAACTGGTAAGGTAAACTGTGCGGTTTTAGAAAAATATATCGCTACTTTTTGATATCAGCACATAAAGAAAAATGCAAGTGGACCATTTCCATATTCATTTGCACATTTTCTAACCTGGATCGTATCTGCAAAGTCGGTTTGTTTGACAAAGCATATCTGGCCTCTAAGTGGTGAAGAGAAACTTCAATGGCTGCTGAAAAGTGGTGCTCTCTGGTTAAGGCTAGGGTTTGGCAATGATATTTTCAACAGTCAAATAGCCTGACACCTTCAGCGTCACACAAATAATGGTACTGTGAGGTACCAGACAATTGCTGATACTGTTCTAGCCATATCCAGGCAAGTTTTCGTACTTTTCTAATAGATGAATCAGAGCTGGAGAACAAAATAGAACTTTAATTATTGATAACTATTACATATTGGGAAAAAGAGCTGATCATTGTATATATTTTTAAGTGCATGTTTTTCTAATTTTTTGTCCTATTTCTATAGTTTCCTGGTAACAGTTTAGCATCCCTACCCATTAACCAGAACTGCCCAGTATCTAGGCCACAGCTGCATAGGCGCTCTAACTCCTGCAGCACCATCTCTGTGGCCTCCTGCATCTCCGAATGGGAGCAGAAAACTCCAGAATGGAACAGAAATGGTAGTGCACTGCCCAAGAATAAACGTAGACTGCCAGAGACTCCACAAGTTAGGCACTCCAATTTCCAAGAGAGAAGTCAGGGAGTGAACAAGCTGGGCAGCAGCAAAGTCAACGGCTGTAGAAGAGAATGCGGAGTAGACCAGGATGGATCCCAGCGGGTTAGTGAGCACTAAAGATTGTAAAAGGAAAAATTGTACAATTAAGGCACAAAAAAGCACTGCACGCAGCTCATACATCCTCTAAGTGTCACACTTATTTCTCATCACATTGTCAGTACTCCTATTGTCTACAAGAAGTATATCAGACACTTCCATGGGAGACCTACATAACAAATCGTGTATGTGTGTGTATTCTCCATTATAAACCCCGTTGTCCACTAAATGGAAAGAATAATTATACCCTCCTAGAGTAGAGATGTTGTGGTGCTCCAACTGGTAGAAGGATATCTTTACAACATGGCAAGGTTACAAACTTCCATTCTAAATATGACAGGAATTTGTAGTTGAAAAAGGTGAACGAGTAATGTGTGAAACTGTAAGATTTTTAATGTATTAAATGGATATAGATGTGTATCTTTCCCATCTTGTACAGAAAGGGAATTGGTTTAAAAACTTGTATAAATAATGGGTAGAACTTGCTGAAAGCAGACCGTGATTTGTTAAATTGCTTTGAATGTTAGATTTTCCTTCTCCACTCCCATGGAAGTGTAATAAGTTACTGATAACTGAGCTATTGCAGTAATAGTGTGAAAATTGGTGCCTGTAATGTGTGATGTTTACAATAAGTGTGCACTTTACACAAGTCTTTGCTTATTTGCTGGCTCTTTACTGAGATACATAATAAGAGCCTTGGTTTAACGTAAAATACTTTGTGGACATTGAAAGGAATATCTCATTGGCACAAGGGAGCCAACGTCATTATTAGCCAGTATCATCCACAGAATGTTTATATTCTATTGCAATGTCTAACTGTGCTGCTTATTGTTCGTTGCTCTTTGGTGTCTTGTTATGCTCGCCAATCGAGATTTTTTTTAAAAATTCATTCATAGGCCGTGTCCATTACTTGTTAGGGCAGCATTAAACGCCCATCTCCACTTTGCCTTGTGGAGATAGTGTTGAGCTGCTGGCTTTGAACCAGTGCTGTCCATTAGAAAGTATTTCACAGGGTTTTTTTGTGTCCTTAGATTCTCAACCTTTGTATAGATAACTGATACATATGTTGGGTCGTCCACTTTACACCATCTTGTGATTTATATAATGTTGACTGGTTAAGCCTAACTCACTATACTGAATCAAAAGACAGTCTTTTGAATATAATTGGGGTATTTTTGCAACTGCAGAAGATAGCTTTTGTTAGTTGTATTATTATTTCTAACATTTGATCATATGCAGGAAAAAAATTTGTTAGAACTGTGTGGAAAGCCAAATTATTGCAGATGCTGGAAATCTGAATCAAATATTGCCAGAGAAACTTAGCAGGTGTGGCAGCATCATTGAAGAGGGAAACAGAATGATTCGAGTCCCATATGATGATTCTTCAGATCTGAAGAAGAGTCATACTGGACTCAACAGTTACACTCTCAGCTCTGGGTTGGTTAGCCTAGTTGATTGGACAGCTGGTTTGCAATGCAGTGACACCAATAGCGTGGGTTTAGTTCTCACACCAGCCCTGCCTTCTAAACGTTGCCCCTAGCCTGTGATGTGGTGACCCTCAGTTAAATTCACTAACAGTCTGTCTAACAGGAGAGCAGCCCTGTGCCCTTCGGGACTATGGTGACTTTATTATAGCAGAGACTGAAACCTTGCAAACTTTAATGTTGCTTTAAGCTGGTTGTTAGAACTCACATGAAAAATCCTGCTAAATAACCTCACTGTGTAATCTGATTGGGAGTGCCTGGCATTCTGATACTGGAGACGGCATTTGCCTCTTAGCTCTTCATTGTGCACTTGTGATAATCGAACAACCTTGTTATTTTAGAGATAGTAGGAACTGCAGATGCTGGAAAATCTGAGATAACAAGGTGTAGAGCTGGATGAACACAACAGGCCAAGCAGCATCATAGGAGCAGGAAGGCTGACGTTTCGGGCCTAGATCCTTCATCA